GGCGATGAAGGACATGGAGGCGTGTGGGAGGAGACGCTGCTGACAGGAGGCAGAGGCTCAAGGCCAATTATGGGGAACTTCTCATTCCATTTTCCTTGAAAAATAGTGGTGAAAGGGCACTGTAGCATTTTTCAGCCCTCACTCACGTAAGCAGTGGCTGCTCGTCACTCCAGCAGGCTTCCTGCTGTGAGTAACGTGGAAGGAAAAATGGGCAGAGAGCAGGGACTGTCTCGTTTCAGATGGTTACTCAGAAAGGAAGTAAAGCCTCAGCTGGCTCCTGGGATGTAGATGCAATTCTTCAATGGAGCCACACTCGCCTTTTGCAATAACTGCTCGCAAAACCGAGCAGCTCCCGGGTCAGCCCTTTGCAGCACCCCTGGCACGGGCTTGCTAGACAAAATATCAGCAGCCACCTCCTGCCTTGTGCTGAGAGCGAGTCCCCAGATGGTTACACGGGGCAATGCTGTGCCTTTTGCCCTTGATCCCGCGAGGGGTTATCTAGGGGAGCTGCGTGAAGCCCTGTTGAAGTTAAGCTCAAGCAGAGCATCACCGAGATGTGGTCCTCACAGATAAAGGGATTGCAACGGGCTAAACCGAAAACAAACTGTTTAGTCTTCAGCATCCCTAGCAGAGACACGCAGCAGCATTCCTGGAAGCAGAGTTTTTATTAAGGACCAAAACAGGGTGTTTTTGCTACCTCCTCCCCTTTATCCCCCCCCCATCCAAACCTGGCGAATATCCATCTGGAATATATTTATTGAACTAACAAAGGGTCCTCGCTTTGCTCGGAGAGCAGCCTGGCTTCCTCTGAAGCGTAAGAAGCCGCATTGACAGGAAAGAAACGGGCACATTTCGCCCTCAAGTGAAGTTTGCGAATACTCCAAATACTTGTTTGTACGTGTGGCCACTCGCAGAGCTGAAATGAATCGTTTGGGAGAAGTAGGGCTGAGTTCCCAATCTTGCCAACCCGTGCGCTGGGAGATGGATTCGTAACCCCGGGCAGCAGGCCAGGCTCTTCATCCCTTGCGTTTGCTTCCAGTAGTGTTTCTAAGATATTTTATTGCTTATGCTGATGGTATTTTAAAATCTGATGTGCTTTCCTTCATTTTTGTTGCTTATTTCCCCCCCCCCCCCCCACCACGTTTATATTATAATCTTGTACGTATGGTTTGGATACTGAAACAATGAAAGGAGAATAAGGAATTGGTGTCTCCTCGCCGCCTCACCCCTTGCTTATGCTCCCACCTGTGGGTTGCTGTGCTTTTACATGCTATAGGCTCCAGCTGAGCTCGGCCTTTTGCTCCTCCGCAGGGGTCTGAACCCTCTGCCCCGGCGAGGGCTGCTGGAGGGAGCCAGCACGGTCGGACTTGGAGCCTCGCTTGTCTTCTGCCCGGCGAGGCATCACGCCCTGAAGGCTGCTCGGGGGATACAGTGACTCCACGCTTGTAAAACCCAACAGCGAGTAGGTCAAAGCACTTATTTTTCACAGTAAATCTACTGTTAGTTCATACTTTAGCATATAGACCACGCTTACCACGCCAAGCCCCACATTTAGAAAGGTTGCAATGCACACACACTAGCCCTAAGCAGACTTTCTTAGTTAGTGGCTTGACTCACACTGGCTAAAATCAGAGGTCTAGAGCAGAATCTTCCACTCTGGGTTCGCTTTGGAGGGGGGAAAAAAAAAAAAAAAAAAAGTGTATTTCTAATTGTGGAGGTTTGCAGAGCAAAGCCTGAAGACGTTCCCTGCTTGCACCCTACAGGCACAGGCACTGAGCAGCAAAGAGAGATCCACAGCAGAAGGAAGCGATGGTTTGGAAGGCTTGATCCAAGGGCTTTGTGCACTTAGGACTGACAACGCATGCACAGCGAGACAGAAACGATGAGGCAGCTCGTCGGGAGCGTTGATGCTGCTCCAGTTATTCTTCCATCGTCGAGCAGCCAGAATCGATCCCAGACTGCGAGTACAAGCACCGCTCTCTCATTCACCTGCAGAATCATCACTATTTTCCACATCAGGCAGCGTGTGAGAGGTCAGCACGAGGCACAGCCCGTCCCTTCAGCATCGACAGCCGCGTGGTGATTCCTCCTCAGCTGGGATATTCCTGGCTGGTGTGTGCCGAGTTGGCACCGGGTCCCCTCACCGAGGACCCAAGGGACTCCTCAGCGTGGGGTAGTGTCCGTGCCAAGGGGACCACTTGTTTTCTTTTGGTAGGAGACAGGCAAGCCCATTTTATGGCCGTAGGCCAAGCAGACGGCAGAGTGAGTTGCTCATCCTGGGTGCTGGTTTCTTTCGCAGCTATGCTGGCTTTTATCAGAAATAACTCTCCCAGCTAAACCAAATGATGGGACTTGTGTCATGAGGATGGGATGCCAGAGGGCTGTACTTACCACCAGCTTCCAGCAAAAGCTTTGCAGGTCCCAGCTCTGCACTGGGACAGACATTCAATGGAGAAACGGCATTTTTTAGGCTAGGTGGACGGTGCTGATGGAGGCCGGGGCAGGAGGAGGGACCCTGGTCGATGCCAGCGCCAAGGCCCGGTCCCTGTGCTGCTGGACGCCTTCTGTGGTTCATTGCCAACCTGAGCATCCCTCAGGGAGATGGGAAAAACCAGGATGGAGACAGAGGGGGAAAACCCAAAGATTATGAAATAAAATGCGGGCAGGGGTGGGAGCGGGGGAAGCGAGTGTGAGCAACGCTGGAGGAAACAGGCCAGCGTTAGGGGCGAGGAGGTGAGACTGGGCTGGCTAAAAAAAGAAGAAACCTCATTAGGCAACAGGCAGTGGCTCCAGGAATAACTCAGCACTAGAGGACACTATTGTACCATAAATCGCAGCATATGCCGCAGAAAAATGTCCAACTTCTCCCAAAAAACTGAACACCCACTCATTTCTGCCATTCTGCCACCAGCACTGTACCAGGACGGCACTTGGTCCCCTTTTCCCACCTCCCCTTCCATATAAATGCCACAATTTCTAACTCACCTCATGACTGTAACACGTCCTGTTTCTTGGTACATATTTCTCCCTATTCCTGAGCAAAACCAGATCAGCATTTGCTGCCCGGGTGACACTTTTCTGTGTGCCACAGGGCAGGGAACAACTGCCCTCCCCTCTCACCTGGAGCTGGGGTTCTGCCGAGCCGATGGCAAAGCTCCCTCCTCACCAGTATGGTCTGGAGTTTTATAACTAGGTAACACACTGCAGGATCCTTCACCTATTTTGGGAAAAGCTTAAGTAGAAAATGTCATTCTCATGCAGAAACCCGTGAGTGGTATGTGACCGCACAGGACGCCCAAACACATCGTCCTCACCGAGAGCATCCCTTCCCTCCAAGCGTCTTGCAAGCATTTTCTACCTGTAAACACAGATTTATTGAGGTCCCAGCTGCTCTTTGTTGCGGGGCTCCACCTCTGCAAGACCTACCGAGACCCCGGTTGCCATCGGAAGAGGTTTGGCTCAAACAGGTCCCTGCACCAGCAGCCCCAGACGGTGCGCTGAGTCCAGCAGTTGGGCTACAGCAAAGGCCAGTTTGGCCGCTCCAAACTCCAGCTCCGCGAGGCTGGGCCAGCAAGTCCCCCAACAGCTCAGCCCTCTGCAGGTATTGCCCTCAGCAGCTTCTGTGCTGCTTTAAGTCTTTATTATAGCATTATAAATGAATACTGTGTGAATATTACGCTCTAGTGCTGGGTATAGATAAAAATCTATTGCAGGGAAGAAGAATCTGTATGCAGAGACTTTTAAAATAAGACACAGAAAACAGTGACTGTTAAAATCTAACTTGTAACATTTTCATTTAATTTTCAGCAATCTTTTTAAATAGTCTTTCCTATTGCACAAAAAATACCCCACTGCCATTTCTCTTGCCATAACCATCGTCTCATTAAAAAAAAAAAAAAAAAAAAAAAAAAAAAAGATAAAAAGAAAAAATACCTCTGGTACAATAAAAACGCTTTGCAACATACATATATATAGATAGATAGATTTACTGTACAGTATTTTAACATTAGGGAATGGGCATATTATTTCTACATATTCTGAAACTCGGTTTTCCATGATGATTTCTATTTATAGTCGCACAAGGCCTTTAATGCTCGAGACATAACTACAATACTCAATGCTGACCTCTGAAAGGACGTTTTTAGCCAATTCTGACACTTTCTCAAAGCCGGCTACAGCTACATCTTTGAAACTCTGCCCTCCTGTGGGTTTAGGGGGAACTGTAACACTCCTCTACATGAACAGCTTTCATCCCTCTTCCACTTTACAGATCCTTAAAATTTTCTCAAGGGGTTTCAGCTCTTGTTGAAAACCCACATCCATGAATTGTTCTGCAGATGAATTTGACTTTTTAAGTGCCTTTTGCTGATCCAGGGATATGCAGACTGTGTTATAAAGAGTGAATTTACACTCTTCCGTGTATCTGTAAAGATAATTTTTCGAGCAGACCCCTGCCCCCAAGCCAAACTCCTTTGGCTCACTCTCATTCTACAGTATTAAAACTGTTTTATCTATTTAACATCAAGTAACTCCATAAATACCATATCAAAACTTACTTGCTATTCATTTATCAACCACTTTTCCAGCTAAGGGTCTTAATCCTACAAGAATTTCTATTTCTGTCTTGATGTATCACGCATCTCGGGCTGGGCTTTGCTCCAGCAAAAGGCAGGCAGCGCTACTTTTCCGTGGGTTCACTGGAAAAGCACAGCAATGCCTCCTTCTGTCCAAGATTTTGAAGTTTTTCTTTACATAAGAAACACAACCCGATCTGTTTTTTTTCACCATACTGTACTCAAAATAAGGTTCACTTATGTCTCACCTGCACTCAGACTCCTGATCTCCAGGATTTCCTGGAGATCTTTCCAAGGGCCTCAGGTTGCTTCTTTTCTGCAAGGTGTGAGCAGGAACAAATACCACGTATAGCTATTTTTAAAAGGGACTTCTGCTTTTTTTTTTTTTTTCCTTTATTTTTAAAAAAACCACCAACCCAACATGGTCAACTTGAAAGAAACCCCTGCAGAACTGGAGTGATAATCTACATCCTGCAGCCATCACTTACAGGACCAGTCCCACTGAAATAAGTTTCAAACACACACTAGAATACTGCAATTTTAAAACTGCTCCAACAGGCAAGATTCTTCTAGAAATTCAGAAAATGCTGGCAGATCTACTGCCCACAAAGCATGTCCGAAGAGCTGCTCCTTCGGGGTGGGAGAGGGGCTCAAGCTCAAGTCCCTGGATTTGCAGACCCAGGCACCAACCCTGCAAGTCTTACACTTCTCGTGAAAACTGAAATCCAAAGCAGAAGCAGCTGGGAACAGGGCAGGAATTGTCCTGGCCTCTGCTCTGTAAATAATCTAGCGGCTGTTTGAAGATGCAGTGAAAAGTCTGCCCTCTTTATTTGTCAGTAGCTCTCCGAGCGCCGCGTACAGCAAATGCTGTGTTTACATTTCCCACTGACTCGGAAAATTAACGCTCTGTGTAGAGTAGCGAAATGAAGCAAATGCCCAAATACAGGCTTTGAAGAGTTTGTTTATGCGAGTTTATCGTCACATCAACAGTTTTCTGGTGCTGGCTGGTGTTGGCTCCTCCATCCTAAGTGGCTGTGCATGTCCAAGCAGTGCTCCTGGGGAAGGGGCTGGCCATCCCCGGCACTGGCTGTACCATCAAGCAGAAAAACACGAACCATCCACCATTATTATTACATATTTAATTGCGACGAAGGCTTGCGAGTCTCCATCGTGTCTTCCGGAAGAGTTCCGAGATCTCCATTGCCCATCTGAGATCTTAGGGGAAGGTCTAGCCTCCTTATGAAGGGGCCACCCTTCCATTCTCCCTATGGCTTTCTCCAAAGGGTTCCTCATCCTTCTCTTTTATGGAGAACTTTTTCCTGAAGGCTTGTGTCATGCTGGAGGAAGAAGCCTTCCTGAACGTGGTAAGTCTCTTCCGAAAGTTGCCCCCTGAGAAGAAGTAGAGAAGTGGGTCAAAGCAGCAGTTGGCAGCTGCCAAGGGGAGCGTTACCACGACTGATTTCTGTAGGTATATGGCGTCCTCGCAGCTGGCGTTCTTCAGCCGCAGCACGTGGAGGTGGATCGTACGCAGAATGTGGTACGGGGTGAAGCTCACCAGGAAGGTGGCCGTCACGATGATGATCATCCAGACCGCCTTCTTGCGGTTAGCCTGGTTCTTCTTCAAGGAATTTTTCAGTAAGGTCCTTATGATCATGGTGTAGCAGATAGTTATGACAATAAAGGGAAAAATGAAACCCACGAATAGGGCAATAAAATCCAGGATCACGACTAGATTTGTCTTCTGAGAGTCTTCTGGGGGTTCGAAGCACTTGGTCTTGTTGCCATGTTGGTACGTCCCGTTTCGCAGGAAGGGAGCGCTCGTCAGGGTGACAAAAATCCAGATGCCGACGCAGACAAATTTAGCCTTCTTCTCCGTCACCAAATTGATGTTCTGGACTGGAAAAACGATGGCTATGCAACGGAAGAAGCTCATTGCAGTCATGAAAAAAATGCTGCAGTACAGGTTGACGTAGAGCGCGTAGGAACTGACCCTGCATAGGAAGTCACTGAAGAACCAGTTCCCTTTGTGGACGTAGTAGATGACACGCAGGGGCAGGGTGCACACGCAGAGGAAGTCGGACACGGCCAGGTTCAGCATGTACACCTGGAAGGCTGTCTTCTGCCGGTAGGTTTTTATGAGGACGTACAGCACAAAGCCGTTGCCGACAAAGCCCATAATGCTGATCATGGAGTAGAGCGTGGAGTAGACTCGGTTTCGGAAGTCGTCGATGGAGTGGTGGCACGACAGGTTATCGAACGGCGCCGTCATGTTGCCTGGCTGAGGCACCGATTCCGCCCGGCGAGGAACGTCAGCCCTAAGGATGAACAACTCCGGTGAGATTGTGTAAAGCAGCACGTGAGGATAAAACGCCATCATTAAATGGGAAAAACTTATCATTTCTCTTACACAGGAGAGAACAGCCAGGAAGGGCTGTGGATCTGTGCAGGTCTGTGTTGTAACTACCCACTACATCCACCTTTCTTCACCTGGTGCCAACAACCGGTGAGGTAAAGGGGAGTCACATTTTACTAAGTCCTCAGTCCTGGCAGCATCTTTCTTCCACTGAATTACCAAAAAGCTCTAACCCCTCGCAAACTGAGGTAGCTATTCGTTAGAAGAGCAGAGAGGAATGACGAAGGTGGCAATAGCACCGTGCAATTTAAAATATAAAGACCAGATCTGGATCCTAATGACTGTTCAGTCCTGCCTCTCTGCACCTCCTGGCGACCGCTGCCTCCCTGTGCTCCACCTCCTCGCCTGCCTGCGTAAGGACAGGTCACTGCAGGAGAAAGTCTGCAAGAAAGTTTCGGAAACAGGAAAGGAAAATAAAAATTTTTTAATTTTAATAAATAAATAATAAAATAATTAAAAAGAAACAAACCAACAAACCTTTGCACAGAAGGTGGAAGATAATTCCAAGCCAGAGGCTGCTGAGTGCACGATCAAACATTTGTCAAGCTCCCCAGATTCTGCATTACTCTCCTCTGCTCACAGGCAGCACCATTTTCTAAACTTGCTTTGTTAATAATTAGGTGTAATTACTGACTTTGGAAAAGGTATCACCTATTACACCTGACAACCAGGAAGGATTGCTGTAGCAGAGGATGCTGCAGGGCTCCAGCTCCCCTGGCGCTGCTTGCAGCACCTGGCAGACGGTGGGGGAAGCTGCAGGGAGGCTCATGTCAAGGAGAACAAACATCCTGGTCTGGAGACATCTCTGCTATCGCGGGAACTCCCTAGCAAAGGGCTGCTTCTTGGGTTTGCTTTTGCACGTTGCTTCGATTTACATTAGCAGGTCTGGGGCTCTCCAGAGTGGTCAGACCACAGCCAGGGAGGATCCACTCAGCCAGTCTCTCGTGAAATTTTATTGTTTCCTTTTGGTATTCGAGTGCAGCGAGACATGACACTTGTAATTTGGGTTGTCCTAAAGTAAAGCAAGAGAAAAATACAGACGTATCTTTCCCATTCATTTTCAATTTCAATTTCTAAGGGTTCAATCTCACTTTCAGTCTGAGACCAGGGAAAACGCTGGGGATCAGAACTGCAGGGTATCTGCAAACTGAAATAACAGGACTTACGAAAAAAAAACAATGATGAAAGCACCAGCCGGGACAAGATCACTTCTGAGAACCCATATGTGTGGGTACGTGCTCAAAAGCGATGTTAAATGGCATGTATTTTCATCTGTAAAAATGGTCTGGCAGCATCAGAATCTGTCTCTCTCCAGGATTTACTGAGAGTTCAGAGCCACCCTGGGATGCTCAAGGCTTCCAGGGCTCAGCTCTATGGGAGTTTGTACTCCCTGATTACCTGCAACGCACAAAATGCATTAAAGCTCAACGGATATCAGCGAGGTGGCACAACCTGACACAAGAGAGGATATTTTTTCCCTGTGGGCTATTTGTGGAGCCATAAGGGTGTGCGAGTGTGACTGCACAGAACTCTTTGGCCAGAAGAGGCAGCCCAAGCCCCAGCACGGCTCTACACTGCTCTGCCAAAGCTGGACACCAAAGCTGGACACCAGCACGTTGTGCATCAGCACTTACAGGTCACCTTAGCTCGCATAAATTAAGCTTATCTAGTGATGCTCCTTGCAAATAACCTGTTCAGCAGAGAGAGTTTGCAGCCACGTCCCCTCCCTGCCCCACAAAAGTCGCCTCTCAGCAGCCTGGTTCTGGTGGTGGCAGACTCCAGACCTCAGTCCCAGCGTGGTTGAGCCTGGGCTCCTCACACACGCACGACAGAAAGCCCGGAGCGGGTCTGACCACCGCCAGACATCCCTCCTGCGAGCTTCTCGGGGCTCTGGCCACCCCTCCCCTGCCAGGGCCAGCCAGCAACACGGAGCTGCTGCCCCACCAGGGCACCGCAGAGACAGAGCACTGGCTCTTCTGGGAGATGCCGAGAGATCCAGCCTTCATCCCACACCACCAGCATCCTCACTGGCCCGAGGTCTTCACTTCAAGGACTTGTGGTTCAAGTTATAAAAAGAGCAACACTCGGTAACGTCTGACAATCTCCAAGATAGGGCTAAAATTAAGTTTGTGGAAACGCTGGTATGATTTTAACCAGTTGCTTGGGAGTGGCAGGCAGCGCAATTCTCTGAAAAAAAGCAGCTTGATCCCCATTCCTTGTTTTGAATCTGTCAGGATAATCTGATGCAGGTGATGAAGCTCTTATTACCCTTACTTTTACCTCCAGGTTAAAGCCCAGCGAGCAGCCTCACCAAGCAAAACCCCGCCGTGCTATGCACCGTACAAACACATCAAGATTAGCAGCTTAGTTATGTCATGAAAACTCACACAGATAAAATCTCTGTATCTACCAAGGCTTCGCATATCAGTTCTTTCTCAGACATTAAAAAAAGACCAACACAACCAAGATGTTTGAGATTAAGGGGCTGGAACGATCTCTTTTGCACACTGAGGTTTTTTTTTTTCATCTGCCTGCACCTCCGGGCAGTTATGATCAATGTGAAAAAAAGAGCAGAAAATGGGACAAAGTAGGCTGCGTGGCCAACCCCGCGGGTAACAAGATGTTTTGCCTAAAAGCAGTGATGTGATGTAACGCTCAGCGAAGGCAAGAGCCTGCAGATGGAGAAGCTGGGGGGGGAGCTGGGCAGCGCAGGCAAGACCTGCGTTTCCCAACAGCAAGTTTTGGGTCGGGTTTTCTTCGTGCCACTAGCGAGGAGCATCTGGAGAAGGTCTCGCTACCCTCCTGCCCCTGCACATTTCCCTTCCCTTCCCTCCTGCTATGCTGCCCGCGAGGTAACCGAGAGCGAGCGGCTCACGGCTCAGCCCATCGCTGGCTCGCTACATAAACTTCCTTGGATAATCTCTGTGCCTATTTGTGCACGCTTCTGAAGTAGTATTGAGCTGGATTATAAACTTTTTACCGCCTTGAGGGACTAAATTCCAGGCTTTCAGCTGCTATTCTTAAAGACATCAGCAGCCGGTGGATACCTGTGTGAGGTATCTGTCTAAAAGGTGACTGAGACCTGTTATCTAGCGTATTTCTAAACATAATTAAAACCATATTTCGTAACCAAAACTGATGATTACAGTAGTGAAGCAGACTGCTAAAGTATAAGAGCTCCACACCTAGAAATGAATCTGTAAAAAACAAACAAAAAAACCCCCCACAGAACACCATTTCCTAGCTGAGGCTTCACGCCATGAAGCGAAGACCAGTATCACCTCTGCCACTTTTCATTTGCTCAGTGCCGGTTCACCGAACCGTTTATTTATGTGCTGGTGAATTCAGCTCACGAGGAATGTACACAAGCGAGAGGAAGCAGCGATGGCTGGCTGAGAAAAAGGATCCCAAACGAAGCAAAACCCCAAACCAACCGCTGTTCTCCAAGTCTCATGCAGCACAGCTGGATTTCTAGTTGGTCGTTAAGGAAATTATGCTCCATTTAATTACACAACCAAAAAAGCATCCCACCAAGGAAGACGGCGTCGTTTGGCTCAAGCTCAGACCTAAAGCCCCCACCAGCTCTCAGGAAGGCTCAGAGCTGACACGGGCTGAGTTTAACGTTGGGTGGAAGAGATGTAAGGGAACAGCTCAGACACCGACCGCGCTCCACAAGTGTAAAACCCCTTCTGCGAGGGGAACCCGGGCTGGGCTTAGAAAGAGGAACAGAGCGAATAATCGAAGCAAGCAGCAGCTGGGTTTATTAATTAATGACCCAGCTCATTAGTACCACACGGTATAACGGAGCTCTGTGAGTATTCAGCCCGACTGCAAACCGCTCCCTGTGACCAGGACATCGCAGCCTCCTCCTCGGTCCTGTCGGGGCTCCCGCAGCGCCCATCGCCCGCCCGGACCCCGTCGGGGCTCCCGCAGCGCCCATCGCCCGCCCGGACCCCGTCGGGGCTCCCCGCAGCGCCCATCGCCCGCCCGGACCCCGTCGGGGCTCCCCGCAGCGCCCATCGCCCGCCCGGACCCCGTCGGGGCTCCCCGCAGCGCCCATCGCCCGCCCGGACCCCGTCGGGGCTCCCCGCAGCGCCCATCGCCCGCCCGGACCCCGTCGGGGCTCCCCGCAGCGCCCATCGCCCGCCCGGACCCCGTCGGGGCTCCCCGCAGCGCCCATCGCCCGCCCGGACCCCGTCGGGGCTCCCCGCAGCGCCCATCGCCCGCCCGGACCCCGTCGGGGCTCCCCGCAGCGCCCATCGCCCGCCCGGACCCCGTCGGGGCTCCCCGCAGCGCCCATCGCCCGCCCGGACCCCGTCGGGGCTCCCCGCAGCGCCCATCGCCCGCCCGGACCCCGTCGGGGCTCCCCGCAGCGCCCATCGCCCGCCCGGACCCCGTCGGGGCTCCCCGCAGCGCCCATCGCCCGCCCGGACCCCGTCGGGGCTCCCCGCAGCGCCCATCGCCCGCCCGGACCCCGTCGGGGCTCCCCGCAGCGCCCATCGCCCGCCCGGACCCCGTCGGGGCTCCCCGCAGCGCCCATCGCCCGCCCGGACCCCGTCGGGGCTCCCCGCAGCGCCCATCGCCCGCCCGGACCCCGTCGGGGCTCCCCGCAGCGCCCATCGCCCGCCCGGACCCCGTCGGGGCTCCCCGCAGCGCCCATCGCCCGCCCGGACCCCGTCGGGGCTCCCCGCAGCGCCCATCGCCCGCCCGGACCCCGTCGGGGCTCCCCGCAGCGCCCATCGCCCGCCCGGACCCCGTCGGGGCTCCCCGCAGCGCCCATCGCCCGCCCGGACCCCGTCGGGGCTCCCCGCAGCGCCCATCGCCCGCCCGGACCCCGTCGGGGCTCCCCGCAGCGCCCATCGCCCGCCCGGACCCCGTCGGGGCTCCC